GTGCTCAGGAATTTTCTATCAGTCAAATTTGTGTTATTTCCAAGTTTCTGATTACCGTTTATAATTGTGTATACATACCTACTTGTTTATTTGCTTGCTCCTGATGTATATTGTTTTTGTTGCGTGCATCCAAAAGCACCGTTATTCGGTAAATTTGTGTGTTTGGATGACATATATTTCACAGCGACGGCCGGAGTCTTAGTCAACTATAAAGTATTAATGATATATTAGAAATATAAAAAACGCAAAGAAAGAAGAAGACTTTTGGCATACTTATGATAACTACTCTTCAAGGGATGTCATGGATAAATGACATTCATTTTTATTTACAAACATTTATAAGCTGAACCGCTTACCAAATCCGATTAGGATTCTGACCGTCAAATTTAATAAAAATTTTAAATGAAAGTTGTGTCAATTTTAATTTTTTTAGTCAACCGAGGGCACTGAAATCTGTGGCAATGTTAATATATTGAACTAAGCTATGATTCAAATATTCCCATTTTCGCATATTATTGCAGTATACCACACATATATTACTTTATTCCGATAGCCCTTTTAAAACTAAATTAACTAATCCAAAGAACTGATGGAACTCGAACTTGAGTTATGTCTGATCTAAAGTTAGCTTCAGTACAAAGTTTAAGGTTGTGCATTTGCTTTGGTGAACAACATATAAACTCTAGGTATCAAAGTTGGTTCGAAATTATCAATTTGTTTGTGGGAAATAAAACTTCACATAAAAGTACGCCATTAAATGTAAATAATTAATTTTAGGAGGCTTATATTACTAGGACAATGCCGTATACTTATATTGATCCTACAAACGAAACACGAAAAATTTGGAAAATGGCGATACACTTCTACACATATTTGTGCAAGTCTGCAAAGTAATCGAAAAAGCATACCCTGTCAACTCCATAAAACGGCGTTGAATTCATTTCCGCCCAAAGGGACAGTCTGCTCCTTATTCGGGACATGTTCGCCTGTGTAGTCGACTATTTCAAATATTCCTGGATTTCTGTATTAAAGTCATTGCATACAGCATACAATCGTGCTTTGTTTTGATTGTGTAATATCAGTTCCAAAAACAAGAATTGAATCATCGGTCGATATTGATCTTTTACAATTTTTCTAAAATCGGCCAGTCACGACTTCTATAACAACCGATTAAAACAAAACTACAAGTCCAATTCAACCGATATCGTATTTTCTCTGGCGATAGTTGTGATAAGATTAAGCCGTTATCGGAGAGCCCTTGAACTGAATACCGTCTTTGGTGAACACGAAAAGCTATTCGATTTATGCAAAGCTTTAAAACCATCAAAATTTTCGACCGCAAATAATTTTAGCAGTTTTCTATTCATCAAATCTTGGATACTAGCCAATCGAACAATGAACTGATAAAATTTAGAGAAATTGGTACATTCGAATACAGATTGAATAACAGCTATACCATTTTAAGGAATTCTCTACATACACCCTATTATTGCGTTCAATCGGATAACTGTATTGTTGCCTTAACATGTAAATTGTTTTGATAATACAGATGAGTTCAACAATAATGAGCTACGAAGTGGTAGTACTACCAATATTTGACAAAAGCTTAAAAGCGCATTGAAGAAAGAATAAGTACACACTTAGCTTATGTTTGAGTTTAAGCAGGCTGAGGTTTTGGATTTTTGATTGCAAATTTACCCAAATTTAGTTCTCTAACATTGAAATGTGCAATGATACCCTAATTAAGATTCTACGATTATGCTATCTCAAAGTTGTAAAATTCTTGTTAATTATGCACACGAAAAACTGCTAAAATTTTTAAATGGTCGCAGGAGAAAACAAAAATAAACAAATACGTACTCATAAACGAGGATAATATTTTAGCAGTTATAGGCTGGTTACTCGTGATACCTAACACCTAAAGATAGATGAAACCGTCAAGGCGGTGTAATACAATTTCGGTAGGTAAGTTGAGGTGACGATTCGAACTTAGTCTTATGAGATTTGAAAAGCCAAAAAGCCAGTGTTGGTACGATTCATCTTCTGTCAGCTATCTTTGACAATTGGCGTTCCTCAAAATATAAGTGACAAAAAGCATCAACCATCAGTGAGGCCAGAATAAAAAAAATCAGAATTCAGCTTAAACATATAAAAAAGGTTTTTAATACTCAAAAAGCTCGCTAAACGTTCGAGCAGTTTGAGCTTGGACGGTCGCTTAGCTATTTGTTATTTTTACGAGGTCCTTCTGATGTTGATAGTATTAGTTAGGTAGCTCCAAAGTAGGACTACCTGAGCCATTAATGTTAAATACTCTGCTATTCCAATAACAACAACGAAAGCTTAGAATAAGGTGAACTACAAATTGCTTAGATTATTGACAAATAAACCAAAATATATGTCAGGGAGTGGAGAAAAGAATGCAGTGGGTTTTATATACGGCAAAGAAACCGATAAACAAATAATCGTAAAATGGTCAATGAACAACCACAAAAAGTAGCAAGAGTTAGCGCTGGAATGCGGATCATACCAATATTAATAAAAACAACAACAGACAACACAGTTCTTAGGCCATTATAAATGGGTTAAAATGTAGCATTCCGTTAACGCGCATGAGTTTATACTACATTTCTTTCGCGCGTTCTCTTGCTGGAGTGTGAGTAATTTGTAGGCCTTTGGGCTTTCATGTGAGTGTTTTTTGTCGTCTAATATTACTAGCGTACTATTGTTTGTGTAGCTGTATATATGTGTAGGATCGCGTTTCTTTTTATTTTTATACATATACATATATACAGTTATTTGTTTGTTTGCTAATACAAAAAGGTCTATGAAAAGATTACATTAGACTTTTAACATGCTTGGGGCCGCGCAGCCTTAAAACAGTTTCGTAAAACTTTTTACGATTGTCACACTGTTGCGCATAATTCTTGGTTCCATATACGTGTTAACGCAGCTATTCTTGAGTGGTTTCGATATTCCATACATATATTTCATAGTCCGGCATAAATATAATTCTTCCAGATGTTTCTAAGCCTGGGTGACTTTATAGTAAGTATATCGTTTTTTTTAAATCCTGGAAATAAGAAGATGACAAGATCTTTAGAGAGAAAAGTCTAAGTATAATTTTGGCTCATCTTTCATGCTTTAAGCAATTATTCCCTACGGGATTCAAAATTAGTATTAGTATTTGGAAAGCCCAACAAAATATTAAGCGTAACATAAGGTCCATACATAGCCCAGGTTCACTGGTGAACGTTGCTTGCGTGGAATCACAAGAAAATCTGATGGTGATCCATGGACCCTCTATGTATTGAAGTTTAAACAGTTACATATAAAACCCCGAAAGCTAGTTTGAACACTCTTCTAACGCTGATCAGTGTACATTTTTTTTCATCGAATTTTTTACATTTTGTATACGTACATACTTTTGTTAACACATACGTGTATTTGAAAGTTTTGGTAAATTAAAGTGAAAATTTTTAACCGCAATTTATGGGAGACCTATAAAAAATACCTACATAGAACTGAAGCATAGTCGTAAAATGTTCCCACATACCAATGTTGATCTATTTACGTATATACATATATACTTGTATGTGTGTGCCAATTATGCCTTTGTGTATAGCTTGCATGCCAATAAATGTGCAAATGAAAAGAGCATAAAGTTTATGGCTTTCATGAAAGGGTTTCTGGTGTTTATTTGGAAATCTAAACTTTTCTCCCGCATTTTTATTGAATGAAATGTGGCAAGGAGCCACCTTAAATTATGTTGTGTGCGAAAATTTTAAAGCCAAGAATACTTGATACGTGTGTACAATACATATGTAAGCAATGTTTTGTAGTTGGTGAGATCTCTTGGAAAATGTAGGAATATGTAAATTTAGCCTAACGGTGTAATTTTAAAATGAATATGAACTGACTAAACTGTATATATCTGATTTTATACTTGTATATACTCGCAATCTTAAACTTTAATATGCAAAATTAAAAAAGCCTAAAATGTTGTAGGTAAAGAAATGCAGTTCGGTGAAAATTTGTAAAGCCCTATATTTGTTGGTGCACGCTATAGGTGAAGTTCGTTCAGACCTCTATTAGGCCCTTCGATTTATATATACATATCTACATGTGTAAAGTAGGCTTCAAACATGATTTCTATATTTCAAAACCTTCCTAACATATAATGGTACTTTTAAGAATACTGCTGTTAATGACAATAAGAAACTTATTTGTATTTCACAGCTGAAAACGATATCTCTCAATAGGGTTGCTTAACTCAATCTGCTTTTGATGTAAAAGTAATCCTTTTTTTGTGTCTCTTTCTTATTTCCTTTACCTTTTTATCGTCATCCTCTAAAAACTTTAAATATTTTTAGAAAAATCTATACCAAATATTTCCACTTTGAATGTCTGAACCAAATGATAATAATTTTCGACTATGCGCTATGATCAATCACAGAAAGTTTTATCACTCTACAACAACAATAAGATAACTCTTGGTGGTGGTGATGCATCAGTGTTGTTGAAAGCCAATTATGTTGATCAGTCCAAAGTTATTTAAAAAACCTTTGCCATGGAGTCTACTGAAAACAGATCACTGCCTTGTAGAATATATTCATGATCCATTCTTCTCTGTGCACGTAGTTGGGAGAAACATATGAGCGGGATAAAGTTGCTGGAAAATAAACGCATTGGGCTTTTTCACAGATGGAACGAAGTTCAGGGAAATGGTTTAACTATAGTATTCTGGATGTAGCTCTCAATCAACTTTTGCTTCAGCCTACGAGACTACTTTTCAGCTTGTTTCGAGCAGAGGTGGTATCTCAGTACGCATACAGTTGGCGAGCTAGGCGTCTCAAAAAATATGTGATATGATCAAAGTGATTTGTTGATATGTGACTTCCTTCTTGATCCATACTCAGGAGTTCTTGGCAACCAACCGATTATTAGCTTAATTAGCTAACAATACCTAACATCTCACTAAATTTTTTAGAATTCAGTGACAATTTGTGACAATCGAATTTCGCTTTATTTGTAAATGCTTGATTAATTTCATTTCTACATATTTCATTCGTACGTTTAAAGTGGTGATGGCATAAGGGAAAATACAGAGTGAACGCGATTATGTCACTCAATAATAAGAAAAATTTTAAAAAATGATTGTCTTTATTATAAATTACAAATACGACGATAAATAACTTAAATTTGTGATTTTGTGAAATTTGACACAATGATAAACCGTCCAATGGACATCTTGATGAAAATCTACGGCTTCAAAAGGTGGGAAATAAAGTGAGTTGTTGGCGTGTACTTGACGGACCTATAAGAGAAAGGCAAATATATTAATAGGGAATAGAGAAAGAAGCGTAAAAATACATATTATATATATAGAAACATATCTTAATGTAATGGAAGTCCAAAATAATACGCAATGTTTTAAATTTGAGAACTGTCTGGTTTTTTCAGATTTTTCGAAGGCATTGAAAATTCAACCTGTAAAATAAAACACTTGCTTCATTTGTAAACGGTGAATGGAGCGATGTTATAGGACTGGAAAGATATCAGCAGTAACTCAATTGTGCGTTTTCAGAAGAGATAAAAAAATAACCGGATGCCTTTTGATGCCTAAAAAGTACAGCGATTCGGAAAACCTTGACAGACATCAATCAGAACCGCAACAAACCAGAGGGGCCGGTCGGGTGAGAGAGCAAAGGTTCGAAAGTCAAAAAATATATGTTTGTGTGCGCTCATATATTTTCAAGGACTACCGCATAACCACCGACACCCAAGATTTATAAATAGTGGGTGCATTGCTATTCCACAATGTTGTACCTACTGCGGAAGCAACAACAGCAGCAGCCGAAACATAAGAGCATTGATTTCTGTCTTTGCTCGGTGCGGCATTGTATTCGACGCTTCTAGTTGTAGTTGTGCAAAATAAAATGCGAAGTTGCTACGTTATCTGACCGCCCGTAAATTTTTCTGACTAAAAACGCCCCTTTCCGCACTACTTGTCTGTTTTCACCCGTCTGGCTCACTTTATATCTAACGGCATTTGCTCGTCTCCGTTGCTATATCGAAATAGTCAGGCCACCCGCCAATGACGGAAGTTTGGTTCCAGTGGTTATTGATTTAATTTGTTCGAAACTGACTCCGTGCGCTTTCTTCAGTGATTGTTGCTCTTATTTTCAGTTGCTGCTACTATTTCGTATTTAATTTTCTATGTCGGTGGCAGTTGATTCACTTTTTATTACTGTAATATGTATTGTTAATGTTGCGGCTCATGTTTTCAGTGTAGTGTTGGTACTCTCGCCAGCCACTGGCTCCCACAATGTATTGGTATCATTCTTTTCACATAAAAGTTTGCGCAAACTTTAATCAACACAATTAAATATTTATAAAATAAGATTATATTCAAGTGCATTCGTTCTATTGTATCTATGAACATATACATACATATTTATATATTATAAAAGTTTTGTTTTGTGAATTCTATTAGGGAAGACTGAATTCATATGGAAAAGCTTTTAAATTTGCTTTGATATATATTAGAGTATTTGTTTTTGTTGCAGAATACTTGCCTGTCAATCAACTTGAGATCGTTAAATATATGTAGCCAAAGAAACTCATAAATCAGATAATCAAACTGCGGACTTCTAAAGGTGTACTTAACCTTACTACTAGGTATGTATAAGGGTTAAGTGAAATATTGAACCGATTATAAACATTTTTAGGAGTAAGTCGCATTATTATTAGAAAAATATGCCGACTTACATTCATTAAAATATCTATTTAATTTCGGTGTAAGGGTAATTATAAAAATTGTCTTCTCATATTCTAAATTTTGGCAATTAAAAATTACATTTTAAGTATCATTTGACCACTACGGAATTATCGAAATAATTCAAATATTGATTTATTATACGGTATTTTAAGCTTATGTAGGATTGGGTAAACTACTTAGCGCTCATTTTTCCAGCTTATACTATGTACCTTAGCAAAAAAGTTCAATGTTTTCCTATCATTTCCCACTTCCTAATTTTAAGGAAATTTTTATTCTGATATATTGATATCAAGGTGATGTGATTATTGTCCTTATCCAGCCATTCGACAGTCGCGGTGGATTGCCGTGCACAATGCAATCGGATGTGTTCCCGGCTTTGCTGGTGAATTTGATACCGTATGAGTGTTCATGCGAGGCCCTTAAATGTCAAAGTAGTTGGAAGCATCTGCAAAATAAATGAAACGAAAAAGAAATTCCATAAATAGAAAAAGCCGCGTGACAGATCAATTTGTAACAACATGAATATGTGTGTATTTATAATTATAAGATGGCAAATTACAGATGAAATTTGTAGCATTTAAAGACTTTGTTTGTGTGTAAAAGAAATTAAGGTTAACTGCGATCATTCCTAAGGCTAACTGTAGATAACCGAGGAATCACTTCGAGCCGGCCAGCTGTTAAATTCTCCCCAGTGATAATGCGGCCAAATGCTTAGAAACTAGACGACAATCACGCCCAAGCCATTTAGATATTTTCTTTTTTTATAGCCAATATATTATCTTCCATACTTTTTTGTTCTTTTTCTTATCTCCTTCTAGCTGCTTGCATAGAACCCTTTTATGTGCTTTCCATTACTGTCGCTCGGTTTACAAGTATTAGCAGCAGCGCTGCGGACAACGTCTCAGGCGGTTCATCTTTGCTCTTTAGAAAATCTGCCTTACCAACAGTACACTTTGGCCGAGTTCTTTATAATCTGCCGTCACCACTATTAGGTTGTGGGATTGGCGAACACGTCTCTGACCTGACTGACTTCAACCTGCCGTTCCCCGTTATGTCGCTTTGGTTACTTGTTTGTTGGATTGGAAAAATGCCCGGATGAGTATTTTTTTGCGGAGACGGTGTGGAGACAGGGATTGCTGACAGTAAATTGGTATAAAGATTCATTACACAGATTTTCTAGAGACACATGCTAGGCTAAAAGCCGCAATGGGTTTAAGTGCATTCTCTACAATTCTTACTTGTAATTCCCGTGCAAGTTACAGGCAGAGGCACACACACACATACAGCTTCTTACTCCCTTACCTTTGTAACTCCAACTCCATTTCAGCAAATGGCCTAAAAGCTGCACGAGCAAACAGGAAATTGTAGGGAACAAACTTAATAAAGCCGCTAGGCTCTACAATAGTGCAACTTGTAGAATATATGATAGAAAGAATGCCAAGGATTGCATGTATTGCACAAATATACTAAATAAGGTGGAGCTAGTTTTGTGAGAAATAGAACATAAGATACTTTCACAGCATTTTCAATCAGCTAACTTCGACTTCAAGGGAAAGACTGGAAATAAGATATTCGTCGATGTGAATACATATCGCTGTATTGGTCTTCGGAATAAATTGATTTCATCTGAATTCGAATCTGCCAAAAGTTAAACCAAACTCCTACCTTAAATCAACATAATCTTAAATTCCTGAAACTGACCTTCATTGTTAATAGCGTGTTTATGTGGGTTCTGTCTGATCTTCTTAATTTATACTGTTGCAACATGTTGCTACAGAGTAAAATAGCTTTATTAACCTAACGGTTGTTTGTATCACTTAAAACTAATCGAAATAGATATAGGGTTGTGTATATATATGTAAATGATCAGGATGAAGAGACGAGTTGAAATCCGGATGACTGTCTATCCGTCCGGTTGACCGTTCGTCCGTCTGTGAAAACTGGAACTTGAGGAAAAATTGAGGAAATGAAACATGGTACACATGTTCCTTGGCAGAACAAAAAGGATGCCACGGACCACTGCCACGCGCACAAAACGCCATCAACAAGAAACCTTTTAATGCCATAACTAAGCACTTAATAAAGATATAAAACTGTAGTTTGGTACAAGGGACCGCAGTAGCAACTGTTGGCTAAAATTTTTGAAAGAATGAACGTGTCCACGCCCTCTAATAAACATACCTCCTAAATCACTAGAGCTATAGCCTCACCCAATATCCATATAACGGTTCTGGTAAAACTACTAAAATCGCGATCAATAATCAATTAACAAATACGTCAGAAACATAAAATTTTACACTCTGGATCATAAAACCGGGATTTCTAAAAGACGATGTCAAATTTTACTATGGGTGTGGCACCGCCTACATTTAGGTGAAAACCCATATCTCGAGACCTGCTCTAACAAATTCGGTAAATAGCATTATTCTGACACTCCTATATTGCTGTGCAAAAATGAGAGAAATCGGACTACAACCACGCCTATTCCTCAATTTTAAATTTGGGTGAAAACTTGCCCTAGCCGCTATATGGTACAACTAATATCAGGATTTTAAAAGATCCAGTTGGCATTATCCCGCATATACTGTTAATGATATGTGATGTATCTTATTGAAACTGAGAGGTCATCTTTTTCTGTTAATAATAAGTGGTAATGGCCAAACTAGGTAAAAGCGGATCATTACCACCACTATCTCTCATGTACCCAATGTAAGATTTTCAAACTTCCAGTTGGCTTTATACCGTATATATCGGTCAGTATGTAATATATCCTAACAAAATCAACTGAACGTATAATATTGTACATACTATAGTTTAATGTCGAAAATATGTATGTGATATTAAACTACGAGTTACCTAACAAGTTATTCTAACAATTTTAATGCTGAATATGCCGATCACTGTATGAGTTATATATTTATAAAACTGCTTTATAATATGTGCTGGAGTATATCTGAGCAATGTCAAAATTTAGTGAAAATAGCCAAGATCTTCAATATATCCTGTGTAACGATTTCCGAATACCCAACTTTTTTAATCCGTTTATGGTGGTCAAAATATGAGCTATTAAATTTAAGTGAACAAGTTTTTTCAAAAATTATGTGGTTTAGCGCTAAATATGAATAGAATACGTGTTAAATAAGCAATTTTGGTTTATATCATATATATCTTATTTGAGGATAATTTTAATTTAGTTTTCGTTGACGGAAAATATAATATAGTTATAAAACTAATTGAATCTATGACCAATCACATAAATAGATCGAGACTTTAGGAAAGTTTGTTTTGATTTTATAAATCGATCTTCAATGATTTTTGTTGGTAAATATGGCCTTTAAAGAAACTTTTCTGCATGAACACCGAGAAAACCAAAGCCAGTTAAAGAAACCCACTGTTGGAAAACCCCATGTTTGTCAAGAGTGTCAAATGTTTAAAAATAATCAATTTATGAACATGAGATAAGTATGTAGAGTTTATGATTTATTTTTAACGCAAAATATCTATTTGTTCTGTACAGTATCGTTAAAAGGTTGGTAATCATTTTTCACTTATTGCTTGAGATTGTGTGAACCGCCTTTGGTTAAGATATCACAACGAATTTATTATACCTTATGAAACATGTTGCACAAGTACAACAATTAACACCATACCGAAGCACTACTCACTTACAACTCTTTCTCTGTATGCAAGCACGAGCCGGACAAAAAAAATTAAAAAAGAAAATTGAAGCATAAATGTGTCTTTGACTTCTCTATAGTTTTTGTAGAGATGGAGTCGAAATTAAACTGAAACCAAGAAATGTAATTACTACGACGGTTGAGAAATTGCTAAAGCATATAAAACAATGAAAGCTCTACTCAGTCGACTTCCTGTACATTCCCGTTTCCCGTTCCTCTGAATATTAGAACTTCTCTGTACCCACTTCTTATTCGGTTCGTTGCAAGCGTGCGGGCTTGCAGATTACATTGAAGTTGACGATGATGCTGCTGACTAAAACGATGTTCGTGCTGATGACTTTACTTTTGAGTCTGGGAATCAAGTACAAAAAGGCAAGAAACGGTAATGAGTAATCACAGTCCATTGCGTTTAAGTTTTTACGCTTATGTTGATACAGATTTAGATATGTGTTTGTGGCTTTACTTACTAGTTACTGAGATCTGTAATTAGTACTGGGGATATAGATTTAAAATTCGAGAACGGTCCAATTAGTCTGGTAAGCACCCATTAAAATAGCTATGAGCATGCAATAATTGTAAACATGTTATTTGAAATACCAGAATCCAGGTAGAAGGTTTTATGAATATAATACATAAATTGGAGTCAGCGATGTACTTCTCGCGTGGAACTATTTCTAAGAAAAACACAAACTGAGCGAGCAAATAAGCGAAGAACTGAAGACGGCATGATAGTTTAGGTATTTTTTTAAACTTGTGGTTTTCCATGTGGCAATACTTGTTCGCAGTAGTTTCATAATAAACAGACTTACTCCGGAACAACGTTTGCAAATCGTGTAATAATAATATTATTACCAAAATAATGATCGCTACACTCGACGCATCGCGCGCTACTTTAGATATTTAGAGTGGTGATAATCCACAAGCTTTTGTTGAGACGCTGTTACATCTACAACTCCAAAAGTCATTGTTTGGTGTGTTCTATGGGCAGAGGGAATCATTGTCTCAATCAAAGCGGTCATAATGTTACAGTCAAACAAGCCGGTGCGACATGCACACAGCCAACGAGACAATTAACTTATACGTACAAATGTACATGCATACATACTCACATCATATGGTTGTATAATATTTATGCTTTTGTGTCTTTGCATCATATAGGTATATATGAAACCAATCATGTATTGATAATCACAGGCAAAGATTTCTTTCCCTCTTTTTGTGTTCTCAATGTGCTTTTGTTGTTTGGACGTACCAGATAATTTGTTTGCTTGTCGTCGCAGACAAATAATCATGTCACACAACAACGCTCGGTTTTGGATGTGTTTGTAACCCGCTAAATTGAGCTGAGAGAGCGACAGAATTGGTTGTTTAATTTCCGATGCATTTTTAACCACTGCTATATCATTATCATTGCCATCAGCATTGAAATAGTCATTTAGAATATCAACTTTATAATACATGTTGGTTGGTCTCACTAAGAAATAGCACTACTGACTCCAACTTTTCTTTCTCAAGTTGGTACATCTGTCGTGTGAACACATTTGAAGTTGACTTGTCAGAGTTTTTGTTTAATATGGAAAAAATTTAAGATCGCGAAGTGATTCGATTTTTTGTTTTGAAAGGTTTAAAAGCAACAGAAATTTATGAACGATTGTTAGAAGTGTAAAAGACCTGGTTTGCAGCACAAAAAGTGATTTTCATCAAGACAATGCACCTGCTCACAAAGGTGTTTTAACAATGACAAAATTCAACGAATTAAACAATGAATTGCCGTATTCACCAGAATTGGCTCATAGCGACTACTACTTTTTCA